AAACCTTTCAAACACATGTGTTACCGTTCTATCAAACACACAAGCAATGCTACTAATGACATCTTTCTACAATGGGCGAAAACTTATTCCCATACCCAATAAATATAGAAGGTGGAATAGTACGAATAGTATTTATGAGTGTAAAATTATTATAATAGTAAGTTACTATATTTACAGAATACGTAACACCATACTGTTGTGTAGTAAAATGTCCCATTTTATGAAAGGAAAATAATACAATGCATTATCTTTCAAAGAATTATGAAAAACGACAGCATTGAATAAAAAAACATAGGAAGATTTGATTCGGATCCTGAAAAATATTAATACGTATGTATAAGAGTAAAATAGCAATGTATTCTGTTATTAAATAGTTTTCATTATTCTTTTATTATATATTTATACGTTTTTTTTATATATTTCATTATTTCTAATACATACAATATTAAAAAAACATCTGATCTCTTTCTTTATTTTACTGTATTTGTTTTAAACTATGCATGTGTGTTACCGCTTGTATGGTGATTGATTCTGCGATTTTTAGGGGGTCTGGATTTGGCCCGATGAAAAGAGGTCTACGAGTTTGCCGGACTTTGTCTTCTAGGGACATGAGTAACTAAAGCAATAGTTGCGTTTAACAGAGAAAACTAATCACAGTTAGCGCTTGGTGATCCTTAGGAGGTAGTCGAGTAAATTGAAAATTTTACGAAAATTCTAAAAAAATTAGCATATGTTGATCGTATGCATAACAATCGTTCCTTAAAATTTCAAATGTCGTAGCCACAAGATAAGCGAAATATTTCGTTTCAAAGTTCACTAATTTTACATGTAAGTCCTATTCTATGTCGTCATGAAACGCACATTAAACTTGATATGAAAGGGATCGGAATTTATGAACTTTTTAAAAAACTGATACGTTGTATATAATGTTAGCAATGATATAAACAAAATTGGTGACTCGTAGCCACATACTTTTTTAATAAAAGCGATATGAAAATGATGATATTCGTCAGAAGACGGGTACATGTGGCAACGTCGCTCACCGATTCAACCGAACGGAATCTCCCACATGGCATATTATGACACATCATACGTAACCAAAACAAGTGTTTTTCTGAATTATGCGGATAAAATATTGTAAAAAAACTGGAATATGAATTATAAGTTACAGTGATAGGTATGTTTTGGGAAACAAGACGTTGCTACACCTTTATCAACACGATTGGTACAGGACAATGAGTGTGTGCGTGAAGCGATCTCATTGGTCAATGTTGTCATTGCATCAAAAAGTTTAGCCGTTTGTACCCGAACTAACTTTTAGAAGTGACTGTCACTCGACTACCTCCTTAATCTGATTGGTTTCTACATTTAGATTCAGCGAAGAACTAAAGGCAAGAATCAATAATATAAGGAATCACTAAGCGCTAATTAATTTTTTCTGCTAAACGCAGTCAATAGGAACGCAGCGGCGTGCGGCGCGCGACGAAGCACTCATGCACACTATCAGGCGCGCGACTCACTGACGTTCACCCGTCTAAAGCAAGGCGCCAATTGGATTAGCATTACTCGGTAATAACTACTTGAGTGTAGAAAAAAATGGCTCAGAACTTTTCGACTCAATTTTTATTCAGAAATAGCTCTATATAATTCGTGGGCGGACTTTAAGGGGGCTTAGAGGTTTTGAGGATCAAAAAATCAATGATTTTTTATGAATTTTTTTTGTAAAAACGGTTATGGCTCAATTTTAGGTTTGGACCTATATTTTATTTGCACTTTGTACAATATCTATGAATTTTTATAAACCAAAATATGTTAAAATGAAAGGCAACAATGGCGGCAAACGTGTCCAAATGAAGTTTTGTCAAATTGCTGACATTGTGAGCCACAACTCAGTCACTACTAGTCGTCTGAAAACAAAAATCAAATTGATTTGTAATTAATGATGTCGAATGTTTATGGTAAACCTAACAAAATGATAAAAAATCGCGATTTATTAAAATTATTTCTTTATTAAAAAAAATTCTTTTTTGACCATTACTTTTTCCATTAAATTGCCAAAAAACTATTAAAAATTTATTACTTTTTTTGGTTTGCTGTATGGAGAAAATAGTTATAATTAATGTATAAAAAACGTAGATCAGTGCATTGAGCCGTTTTTTCTCTACAATGTCAGTAAATTTGAAAAAACATGTTTCGAGAAAAATGCGTTTAAAGTTTTGAGTTAGAATACTTGTTTTTTTAGTACTTACAATAAATTTTTTTTATTCGGCGATTTCAGGGCCTTAAAATGGTTCATCCTCTTCACGAAACTTACGAAATGTTTCTTTGTTCGAAGAAGTAACAGTCGTACGGCGCCTAATTTTTACCTATGCACCATTTTAGTAAACCGTGAATAACTCCATTATTCTATGTATTTCTATGGACGGTTTTGGCAACATATTTTCAAGACTGTCAACTTTCCAAAAATGCAATAAAAAAATCGATTTTTTTTTACCTTTCAAACCACCCGGCCCCCTTTAAGAAACTTTGCAATACCGTAGGAAATATTAATTTTTAAAGATTACTAAATAAATACATATACGCGTGAACTACCATCAAATTTCCGCCCATCAGTCGCGATTGCTTGTCGCGTGGAAACTGCCTGGTATGCGCGCGCTAAGCGTCATAACTTAAGCAGCGCGCCTATCAGCAGTCTCTACTCCCTGTGCAACAAGCGACCGGCATATACTTGGCGGTATACTGCACGGATACGTACTTACTTAGTGATCTTTAGAAATTAATATCTCCTAAGTATTGTAAAAATTGATAAATAGTAAAAGACCTTTCGACTCAGTTTAGTCCGCTCTACTTGCTCATGAAAGGTAATCCCGTAGATCGAGAACCCTCTACCGGGTGTTTCAGACCACTCGTATACCCTATTTAAAAACGAGAGAAGTAATTATTTTGAAAAATGTTTCAGACAAAAGCTGTTGGGGATCAAGTAATGCATTACATGAACATATGTGATTGACCTTGAGTGGCGTTGTAAAGGTCGTGTCAAGGTCGATTTAAATTTTTTAAATGGGAATCCATATCTTTCATTGCATATTCTTATGACTGCCATCAAGACGTTTTCGAAACACTGGTTAGAAATCGTTTTTAGTTGAGATCTTCTTGAGTTATGAGACTTCAAAATTTTAATACCGCTGGTGTTAGTATTATCCAAGATGTACACGTGGAGATCGCACAGTAGAATTTACACCTCTTCGGGGTACTTGATTAAAATGAATATACAGGGTGTTCAGAGCGAGACTTTTCCAATTCTCCACAGGAAGATAGATGGGATCGAAATAAACATAAAAGTCTTTTACTGTTTAGTGATATCCGTAATAATAATCGAGATATTAAAGTTTGTAATTGTAGTAATGAAAGCGCGCCGATAGAAAGAATAGAAACAGCTCCGGCCGCTCGAGGTATAACTCGGCCCAGTTTGTTAAATGTTGTCAAACGATGGATGCACCGGCAGGAGAGGCAAGAGGAGAAGCGCGCCGTTGCTTAGCGCTCGGCATCGCTGCTCACACGTCTCACCGTACCGCACCAAAGCACTCGCGCGATGGCCGCTACGCACATTCGCGATTACATTACATACGTATGTAATAATAACACTGCAAAAATAGGACAAATACAAACCATAATAAACTTCGATGAATAAAAATGTCGAAAGAGAGAAACCGACGAATACCTATGGAAATCTACGGAAAATCTAATTAATTTCTATCGTAATTTGTGGCTTCTCTAAATCGAAAGAAAAAAATTTTAAGAAAAAAGTATCCGAAAGAAACAATATTATTCTCCACCATTCTCTATCGTTTTCTGTTAGGAGAGTATGATTTCATCGGAATACGATCAAATATCAATAAAGACGTAATGTTTCATTGCAAGTTTTGTTGGAATCTCTCTATGTATACTTAAAAAAATCACTGAAAATCTGCCATAGTTAATAGTGTATTTACGGTAGTAGAAATTCTAAGCTCACTATCGCACAACCAGATTTATTATTGGTCCTATTTTTACGATGTGATATCGAGGAAGACATATTTTGGGGGACAGATTACGATTCTGTAATTGGGCTCAATGCAAAATGTGGAAGGTAACTTTTTCTTGAACGTGTTGTTTTTTGATGACGTAACTTTTGTTAATGTAGGTCATGTGAACACAATTCACATATCAAAAAGAAATCCTCATTAGTACAATACTATACCAAAGGTCGGTGAATGTTTGGTGTAGTATTACGAATGGATACATCGGTCCTCATTTCTTCAATGGTATCCTTACAGTGTGGTTTATAACAAGTTTCTGGAACGAAAGTTGCCAGAACTATTAGAGAACATTGATCGTTTAACTTGGCAAAAACTGTGATTTCAACAGGATGGAGCGCCTGCACATTATAATGTGTATCAAATGTGTCGGGGTCATTTAGACATCGTATTGTTCTCTGCATTCGTAGTAAAGGACGACAGTTCGAACATGCACGAACATTGGAAGTTCGTATTTAGCCATTTGATTTTCTATCTTTGAGTCATAACGCGTTGAGCTCGTAATGAGTATGGCTACAAACGTAGGTGTTTAAAAAATTAGATTGCCACTTACAAAAATAAAGTTGACCTTTAATCTTAATGCTCCCACCCAAGATGAAATCTTGTTAATCAAAAAATGTCCTCGACATCACATAACATCGTAAAAATAGAATTTCGATATTTTGCATAATTCCGGAGGAATTCAAGTGCGTTGATTAAAATGGCACACCGTGTATATGATCAATATTATATGTATTTTGATTATATTAAGAAAATTACATCTTTATATGAAAATTATTATTTTAATTGGCAAAATAAGTAATAGATGATATATGAAAAATTAAATTCTAATATTACAATGAATTATAAAAGCGTGAAAAATGTTATCATTTTTTCTCTAAATAAACTTAGAAAATGTACTTGTGAAGTGATTGTTTTGCTTACCTCGCCAGCTCACTTTAATCGGACATGTGATTGTCTGATTTTTGATGAGATACGCATTCAGTGCCGTCAGGCTTGGGCTTTTTCGTAAAGTACCCTCATCATTTTTCCACACATATGTAATCGCTGTCTGCTCATACGATACTGAAAAATAAAATAAAGTTTTTATTAATTTAAGCATGCATTAAAAGGACAGTTATGTTACTCATATTTAACAGCTATTCTAATTACTCACTGCTCTCGATTGCGAATGAACACAACGGGTCGTCGAAAGGGAAGATATTAAGTCTACCCTGGCAGGATAGAATAAGATGACGCCTGTAAAAGGATAATGATGCACTTGCAAAGAACGTTTTTAGCTAATAAATAAAAAAAATTAAAAATTTTTCCAATGTTCCAAGTTATTTAAAAAATTTTATTAAAATTTTATAAAAATATTCCTTAGAACATTCGCAATTTCGAGGAAAGAAATGATCATAATAACATTTAATATGCATAGAAGATATATTGATATTTCAAGTACCGCATAAGATAGTTGACGGTGCCGTTACGATATATCCGCAAGGCAAAGTGAACAGGAATGATGGGATCTTTGAAATCGCCATGCATTATGAAATATGTATCCGGCAACCAGATGTTCTCGTAATGATGAATCGCATTTAAAAATTCGTATCTGGATCTGTTGCTATAACGCAATCGGGGATCGTACCACTGTTGCTGTAGTAGGAATTCCACTTCGTATTTCTATGAAAGTAGAAAGACGATCGCATAGTTAATATATATATATATATATATATATACATTTACTATGACTTATTGTTTTTCCCTCGATCTGACCTTTGACAATTTAAGCGATCGTTAGATCTATTCGACACTCCGAACTGCTTAGGCGGAGTTCAATCAGTTTCGCATAAAATGCATACATTAATAAGAGTTAAATTGTGAATAATAACAGCATCCAAAACTTCATGAGAAGATTTGGCGACCGTGGAGATGAATTACTCGCCGCTTATGTGGTTGAATTTAAGTTTTCATAAGTATTTGAATTTGAAACAGATTCCAATACAGTTTTGGCAATCTGTGAGTAACTAACTTGATAGTCCACTAAATCAAATATAGTAGAATAAGAATATTGCTGAAGAAGACTCCAAAGAGAGTCGAAACGTTAAAGAGTTCTCAAGTTTTTTAAATAAAGAAGACATTTGTACATCAAATGAAGTAACAATCAATTTTACTTGTTAAAAAATTTTTGCGCACCTCCTTCCGCGCTGACTCCTAGTAGTCTAGATTATCTTTGTTTTTGTTATTTTAATAGGCATTCTACAACAAGTCATTCTCTAACATTATTTATTTGATTTATTATTAATATTGATTTATGTAAAATAATTGTTTAATGTTTATTTAACATTAATTTAATAAAATAAATAATTCAAGTAAAGGCTTTAATGAGCAAATCAAAACGTTAAAGAGAAGTTTTTGAAAGCCAACACAGGTTGTGTGTAATTACATATATTTTATTATAAAAGATAAATATAAATTTCGATCCTAATTTTGATCATCTTCAGACAAACTTAATATTCAGAGAAAATAATCATAAACATTGTTACGAATATCGAAGTAACAGTCGTCAGGAGTATCGATGTAAGAGAGTTAATATAGTCAAATATTGACTAGTTCTCACGTCCACATTTCGTTAATGGTTGTTCATTAAATTTTGATAAACTAAATAACATAGTGCAATAATATGATGCCGTCATTGTAAAAGTTAATTGTAACAAAATGTGCACTTACATGAATGATAAGGTTGGTAACAATATTTGCGTGTACATGATCATCAAATTGTCAGGTTTGTAAAATTATTGTATATTACAGTAGACTAATTTAATGAAAATACTAATTATTGATAATACAAATTTTTATATCATCCCAATCAAAATCGTGCTCAATTCCAACCTATATTCCGTGATTACAGAATGTTGAGTCATGTTCCAATTGATGTGATTTCTTTAATACGTACTATTAGATATCGACTAGTCTGACAAATATATAAGGCGTCACAATCTTTACAGTTATAATTCCATATATTATATCGGATCAGGATAATGTAGGAAGAGTATCTTTCTGAACTTTTATGAACTTGCTAAATTTGTTAATTCCCTTATATGCTATACTTATTGACGAATTTGTTTTAAAAATATTTTTGATTTTTTTCAGAAATATGCGGAATAAACGGTATGAAAAAGCGTTTTTGTTTTTATTTTTTTTTCGTCTGAATTAGTTGAATTTTTTGTATATTTTAATTGATTAAATTTTTTGTGTAATCTCTTTTTAATAGTAGAAATTATTAATTTTAACGGGTATCCATTATTTAATAGTATTCTAATAATCTTATCGAAATTCTTTTGATGAAAAAAAATTAGGATGGGAAAGAAAAAGAACTCTTAGACCAAGAGGCCACTGTAGTGATTTTACCCACAGCGACAAGTATGAGAAGTGGGTAACCTTTTATTTTATGTAAAACATAAAAACAATACATACAATATATTTAAACCCTGTTGCTTGGAGGGGAGGTGGGCTTTCCAAAATGTTGCAGATTTTGATTTTTTTATTAAAAGCGTCGAGGTTGAATGTTGTTGCAATCAATAGTTAATACCCTTATTCCAAGATAGGCGGATTCCCATATCCCTCAGAAGGGTGCAAGAGATCGTCATATTGGGCAAATTTTTATATAAAATCGATAGCAACAAGGTTAAATTTTTGTTTACTACCTAATTTTGATATCATTTGTCGAGAAATATAATTCCCATTTCTTTTGGATGATTACGAAGACAGCCGTACCAAGTCGAAAACGTACAATTTTCTTACTCCATGTAAAATTGTTCATATTTGGGTAAATATGGCTGCTTTAGTAACAAAGTGCTTTTCAATACAAAAATCAAAATCTGCAACATTTTAGAAAGCCCACCCTCTTCAAGCGACAGCGACCGGGCTTAAATATACAGGGTGTTTGAAAATTATCGAAATTCCTGTCACGAGCAGGTAGAACGGACTAAACTGAATCGAAAATTCTTATATCATTTTGTAGTTTGCGCAATAGTTAACGAGATATTAACGTTTAAAGATAGCCCAATAAGCGCGTCCGGCCGGTCTACTGCTGCCGAATATACCAGGTATGTAAATATGAAACCGGAATTTTTTAATAGAAAATACATGTTTATTGCATGAAAATGATAAAAAAATTTTATTCGAAGTATTGCCCATCGCTAGCTATACATTTTTCCCACCTTTCTGACAATTTGTGGATGCCACGCCAAAAAATTGTTGCTCTTTTGAGCCAAAGCAGTCATCTAGCCATTTTCGTACATTTTCGTAAGAACTGAAGCGCTGCTGAGCAAGTGCGTGTCCCATCGATGCAAATAAGTAGTAATCGGACGGAGCTAAGTCTGGTGAGTAAGCCGCATGCGAAAGTATTTCCCAACCAAACGCCTCAATCGTTTCCTTGACCAGTTTTACTGTGTGTGAT